TTTGCTCCAAATCCATTTCTTCAGGTCTCCCATATGCTATGTGCTATCCAGCCTGCCTTTTTGCTCTGGCACATCCTTTGGCTTCTGTTTGTGCAAGGTTTTATTGGAGAAGGCACCAAAGTTTGTTACCACTTTCCTATCATGGCCCTTTGTGGACGACAAATCGAAAATCCCAAGTTATCTTCAGAAGATGTGCTCTGCAGACTAATCTTGAGTAAGCACTGGATGGGAATACCAGGGTACTATTGAGCCAACACTGTTCAGAAAGTAAACAAAATTGAATAGAAGCGAAAATTATGGAGGACTTGTGTCCTTGAAAGCTAATTTAAGCTCTCTTGGTTCTGGTGGGTTGAGGGAGACAAGCAGCTGCAATACAAAAGATAAGTGCTGAAGCCTGATTAACATTGGTGCTTTGAAGGACCAGTTTTCACAGCCCATCTGGAAGTAATTTATTCCCACTCAGAGGTACCACCAAACACAGCCATTCCAGAAAAAAGCAGCTTCCAAAAAGATAGTCCTTAAGCTGCAGTGAAGAGAGGGGCAAGCACTTAAGGGTAGTCTGAAATAATCACTCCACTCAGCAGGTGAATAACAAGAAATTCCAGTTAATAAAAAAATAGCAGGAACTGCAATTTTGAAGGTATTCTTAGAAATAAATAGCAAAAAGGGGCATCAAAGAGAGGTAAACAGCATTTGAGTGCTAGACAGAAAGCCTGGCATACTCCAAAACATTGCAGAGCACCTTTCAGTCTCAAGGGAGATCACGAGTTTGAACACATGAAGAACTCACTGCTGGGTAACAAGTTATCAGGTGTCTGCTGATCCATGGCAACTGTCCCTGATGATTTGCAAGGTGGCAAATGTGGGATAATTTGAGATCTCTGCATCCTCCTGGAAGATGAGAGAGGTCTGTGCTGGTGTGAATGACCTCACATTTTCTGCAGCTCAAGAGTTGCCATGTAGAGAGTTGTCTTCTACCACTTGACTGGTGGCACCTGGTTCTCCTGTGTTCTCTCGTTTCTCTGCCTGAGCCTGGATGAGTGTCTCATCGCCCAGTTTCTGGCCTTAGAGGCATTTCTTACTTCAATGCAATTCTTTCCTCCCTCCTCATGAACCAAGTGAGCCCAGTGCTGCTCCCCAGTAACAGGACTGTTCCTCTGCAGAGGTAAAGGGATAAGCAGACTGAGGTGAAAAGTGGTTTGGGGACCTTCTGGCAAATAACCACCTTGTTTCTGACATTGCTATGGCATCCTTCTAAACACAGCTCCCATGTGGCCACTGATTTGTCTCTTATCTAAGGCTGTACTTGGTCTGTAGGGCCTGAGAACATCTCTTTATTGGAGAAGGAGGTGAAGAACATTTGTTATAGAAATGGGGACTGCACAAAACTAACATGAATTTAGATTTCATTACAAACATGGAACCTGGCAAAGGTTAATTGAAACATTTGCCAAGGGCCAATCTAAAGTTCGAAGGAATCAAAGGGGGACTTCAAACTGACTTTAATGGTCTTGGGGTCAGGTTGTAAGACAAATTTGACAAGTTTCAAGGTCCCTAGGTCAATGGATACCTTTTTTAAAAAAAATCAAAACCATGCCATGCTATTAGTCAAAAAGACATTTCAACCATAGAAATCACTTGGTACCAGTTCAACAGGAACTGGATCAACTCCTGCAGGCCATAGGGAGCAGTCTGTAACACCTGCCTCTTTGGGCATTGTACTGCCCTGGTGGAAAACATCTGTCTCTCAGGTGAGAGGATTAGGAAGGAGCCAAGCATCACATACTGCTGGGTCTGAGAATCCCATACCCTGCCTGGGGTGGCCTGTGGCAGAGCACTCTCAAGAGACAGCCCTCACTGACAGAGGTCTCCACTGCAGGAGACATCAGGCTGGAAACCTCCAGGGCACAACACAAAGCTGGTCATCTCCTCCCTGATGTATTTGCTTGAGAGGATGGGTGGGTGGGTTGTTTATCTTGTCGGGAGGAGCCTTTTCCTTTTGGCTCTTGGGGAAAAAAGGAACTGCATTGTGTATGTTTACTGAAAAGTCCAATTCCCTGAGACATGAAGACAGGACACATCCTTATAAATCAGGGTGGAGAAAAAGTAAAACCAGAAAGAAATGGTTGGGGGTTGCTGCAGAGAGTGTGTGTGCACTCAGCCAGCAAAAGGGAATGACACTGACACTGTTTCAAAGGAAGGTCATCGTGTAGACCATAAATCTCAAACATTTAGCATTTGCTTCATTCGTCTTTGTTGACTTTTTTTACAAGAAGTTCAGCAACTATCAGAAAATTTTGAAGTTCTTCTTTATTTATGTGGCCTTTCAGCTGTTCATGGCTGGTGATTTAAAGTCTGATGCAGCCAGACCCAGCAGGACTGGCCTGAGCCTGCCCATGACAGCCTTGCCCTTAGGAGGGTTGCTGGTGCCTGTGGCTGTTCTGTGCCGGAGTGCCCAGGCAAATGGCACAGACACTTCATAGTATGAGTGCCCAGGTGTGAGCATTCCCTTTGCCTGAACACAGCCAGAGCAGGAGAAGAGCCTTCTGGAAGGGAGCAGACCTTTGCCATGGGCTTATTCCCAATCCCAGACCTCTAATTTCAAGCATTCTTGGGGAAAGAGGCTTGTGGTTTGAGGTGGTGGAACCCTTCCAATGTCTGCTGCTGGTGTAGTTTTGCTGTTTTGACTCTTCCAGTTAGCTTTGGGACCTCAAGGTTTTGCTGAGCACCTGAGGCAAGTTCATGAGGCAAGTTCTCCAAAACCTTTCTGCTCAGAGGACAGAGTTGTCTCTAACTGATCACAATTAATGTAATAAGTGCTTTGCAGTTTTTCCTATATGTGTCACTACCTTTGAGATCTTAATTCATCTTAACACCTATTGCCATTCTTAATTACTTTCAGTGAGCCCACTGCAAAGAAGTGATGTGTCATTCTCTTCGTGATCAGCTGCATGGAAATATTAGAAAGAGACAAACTGACCAGACTGAGCATTTAGTCAAATCCCAGCTCTGCCATTAAGTTGCACAGTGTCCACTGCAAGTCATTTCACTTTGCTCTGGGCTGTTTTACTCATATAGAAAATGGAAATAGCAAACTGATCTATATTGAAATCCTATTCCAGCCCCAACTAAGATAAAGCTTGGCTTTGCTTAGCTTTGCTTGGCTTGGTAAATATTTTTGAAAGCGGAAGCTTTATTATTTTGAAAAATCCCTGTTAATCACACAAGCAAAATCTATTGTGTTGTTTAAATAAGTAAAAGAAATGGAGAAAAATAACTGCAGTCTTCTCAACCATTGAGAAGCAAATTCTGTAGGCTCCTGTTTATAACTTGCAGAGCATTCTGACCTCAGAATGTGTTCCACCACTCTGTTCCCACCACGGCACTGGACTTCTTCATTGAGAAAGGCCAGGTCCATCAGAGGTCAGAGAGAACCTTGATTTAGAAGTTTAGTTTGCAGTCCAAGAGCTGCTTCCCAAGCAGATGGACACTTTATACCAGCCCTTGCTTGCTAACTAGGAGGACAAATGACCAACTGTCCAATTCCACCTTCTGCTACCACCGACTGTCTTGCTTGACTCCCTCTGTTTCCAAGACCAGGGGGCTGGAGACATCTAATGGCAAGTGCCTGCATAGCAGATCATCCTCCCCCTCCGCAGCTGTCCTGTCCTGAAATTCCAACATTTAACTCTTACAGTGCCTCAGAAACATATGTGCACAAGACCAGTGAAATGACAACGGCTGTGTGGGCACAGGACATCTTGGCAACCTTCTTGAGGGAAAAATAAGTGATGCAGAGCAGCCAGAGTCACTCCTTTGTTTGGAAAGATCATGGAGCAGATCCTCCTGGAAACTGTGCTAAGACAGATGGAAGGTAAGGAGGGGATTGGTGACAGCCAACATGACTTCACTAAGAGCATGATAATGTCTGACTAATTCTGATGGCTTTCTGTGACGGGGTAACGGGGCTGGTGGCTGAGGGAAGAGAAACTGGTGTCATCTACCTGGACTTGGGTGAGAGCAGATGCCTCCTCAAGTTCTCTGGTAACACAAGGCTGGGACGAGGGGCCAATACCCCAGAGAGCCCTGCAGCCCTTGGGAACAACCTCAACAGGGTGGAGAGATGGGCAGAGAACCTCCTGAAATCCAGCAAAGGCAAAGGCAGGGTCCTGCACTGGGGAAGAACCCCAGGCACCAGGACAGACTGGGACTGACCTGCTGGGAAGCCGCTCTGCGGAGAAGGACCTGGGGGTCCTGGTGGACAGCGAGCTGTCCCTGAGCCAGCACCGTGTCCCTGTGGCCAAGAAGACCAATGGGATCCTGGGGTGCATTAGGAAGAGCACTGCCAGCAGGTCAGGGATGTGATCCTGCCCCTCTGCTGAGCCCTGTGAGGATCTCCTGGAGTGCTGTGTCCAGCTCGGGGCTCCTCAGGACAGGAGAGACACGGAGCTCCTGGAGCAGATCCAGCAGAGGGTGACAGAAGATGGAGGGACTGGAGCATCTCAGTGAGGAAAGGCTGAGGGAGCTGGGCCTGTTCAGCCTCGAGAAGAGAGGGCTGAGAGGGGCCCTCATGCCTGTGTGTCAGTGTCTGCAGGGAGGGGACAGGGGATGGAGCAGGCTCTGCTCCCAGCAATGGGACAGGAGGAATGGGCAAGAACTGATGGCTGTGAAGTTCTACCTGACCATGAGGAGGAATTTCTTTCCTGTGCAGTGACCAAGCACCAAACAGATTGCCCAGAGAAGCTGTGGAGTCTCCCTCACTGGAGATATTCCAGAACCATCTGGACACAATCCTGTGCCATGTGTGCTCTGGGATGACCCTGCTTGAGCAGGGAGGTTGGACCAGATGGCCCATGATGATCTCTTCCAAGTGACCCATTCTGTGGTTTCATGATTTCCAGGGATGCTGCAAGTTCAGTTCTTCTTTGGAGATGGCTCCTTGCTGGCAGAGCTGGGACAGGATCAGTTCTTCTTTGGAGATGGCTCCTTGCTGGCAGAGCTGGGACAGGAGTTGGAACAGGGCACTGCTCAGGCTGGGTCTGATTGAGACAATGGCCCCTTTGCTGCAACATTCCTCCTCCTAAGACCAGAACAGTGACATCCCATGTGCTCCTCAGGGGGACTCACCACAGACATTGATGGGTGAGTTGTGAAGAACCTTCCTCAGCAAGATGAGAAATTATTCCCATCTGTCCCTTCCCCTGCCAGGTAAATTACCACTGTCCAGTACACCTGGATGAGCAGTGGAGTTACAGCCCAGCACCTTCTGACAACAGAGTCTGATCCTCTAAGGCTGCCCAGCAAAGCAGTAGTGTGATTTTATCTTTTGCAATGATTCACCTTGGTTAAATATTATTTCTGATATCCAGTTATGTGCTATCTCCAGAGAGCTTCATGGCTTGTCTAAGGCCCATTTAATTCAGTGGCTTCACTGTGCCCTGGATCCTACTTGGGCTGTGAATGTGTCCTTTAATAGCTACAGCTGTAAAAACATATTAGCTGCTTCTCTGTAGGCCTGTTGTTTTACTGTAAAAAAAAAGAAAAAAGTGTATTTCAAGAGGAATGAAATTTCAGATCAAAGGAAATCTTTTTCCATTTCAAGTTGAATTTGAGAAATAGTTACGACCTAATTAAAATTTTTAAAAAAAGAAGAGGGAATGTTGAAATTTTGGCATATCCAAGCCATCTTGTTATTTTTTGTGGAGAAGTCTTTGGTCCATGATGGCTCAACGGATAAAGTACAATTCCAGAGCATGGAACACTTGCTATATTACAAGCTTTGTCTGCTTATTTAGGAATAAAAATTATAACCAGGATCTGGTTGGTCCCTGCCAGGTGCAACTTCTGGCCACCAAGTGCCAAGTGGTCCAGAGGGTTGTGCTCTCATGTCCTGGCAGAGCTATGGCACTCAGCAGAAAGAAACACCTGAATATCCATTATAACAGGAGAAAAATTGAAAAAAAAAGGACTTTATAAGCCAGTAATGAAGACACTTGTTGGTCTAAGTGCTGGAGGTCTCAAACATCATCTGGGTACCCTGCTAGACTACAGTGGGCAGTGCTCATGAGGTTTGGATCAGGAAGGAAGTCAGACAAGTGCTTTTCTGCAGTGTGGATGATCAGACCAAGGTGGAGAGACAAGAACTGCTTTTCCTCAATATTTTTACAAGCAGCATCTAAGCTCACGTCTAAGATTCGTGATACAGTATTTTCTTTCTAAGCTCCTCCATTCTTGTTTAAAGCACCCTCAAAGAATCTTTTGTTCTCTAAAAAAAAAACCAAACCCTAGGTCTTTTTTCTTCAATTTTTGAGCTCTACCACTGCATCAATAAAATGATGTTCATTTCAAGCCAAATACCACATTTTCTTGCTAAGAGGTGTGTGCTGTGCTTCAATACCAAGCTGTCAAATTCCATGGGACACAGCTACCCTCTCCTTACCTCCTATTGATTTTGAAACTGGGAGCTGCTGTATGAAACTGAGAGGCTGACTGGGTGATGTCTTGGCCTCTTGAGGCAATCCGAGGGTAAAATGATCTAATGTGACAAAATGTGAGAACTCAGCATTCAGGGTATTTCCATTGCTGACGAACTGAGTGTCACCAAACTGGCCTCATGTCCAGCCAAGGAGAAGTCTCAGTGCACACACAACTAGCTAATCTGTAGCTTGCAGTAGACCTAATGCTCAGAAAGATTTCAGAGAGAAAAAACAAGGCAGTGTCTGTGAAAAAGGATAGAAAATAGCTGTTTGAACCAGGCTTCAGTGGGGGAGAAAGATGGCTTGAGCTGGGGGATGAAAAGAAGCTCCAACATTTTCTTTTGCTGGAGCCCTTTTGGTCTTATGAATGTCTTGAGATTTTGGGTTGCTTTCTTAATCTTAAAATGATTTTTAAAAAGCCCCTCATATCCTTTTAGAAACAGGCTGCCCCAGTCTGTTTGCTGCTTCCTGCACCTGGACACAGGACAAAGATGTTGTGGCTTTCAGGAAACAGCACATTTGTCAGCATGCAGCCCCCAGCTGAACAAAGGGCTGGATTCATGGATGCAATATCAGCCATGGAAATGTTCCACCCCTGCCCCTCCCTGGCTTCTTACCTAGTCTGTCGAAACAAAAAATGAATTGTCATTGGGTTTTGCAGCCTCTGAGGCTCCTCAGCAGATCAATACAGTGTTCTAAGAATCACAGAAGCCTAAGAATCACAGAATATTTTGAGGTGGAAGGGACAGGATCATGGGTCCAACTCTTAAGTAGGATCAAACACACAGTGGCCCATCATTTGAATGAAACTGCACTAGAATTGCAAGAATTTGATCTTAGATTATGAATTATTTTTGGGGGGTTTTGTTTCTAACAAAAAGAAGCTGCTACCAAAGAGGAGATGGGAGGCAGTCTCTGCAGCAAGCAGAAGAGTGCAGTGAATTACAGTCAGATCTGACTTTGCTCCCACACAGCAGCACCACTTCAAAATTTCCCTTCTCCTGGAGGAGCAGGGTACCCTTTTGACAGGGACTTGGTGCTCATTAATGGTGTTTGCTCTGCCTAATGTGACATTTGAAAGCTCCAGAGCTGTGCCACTTTACTCAACATTGTCATATTCAGCAAAACATTTAAGCAGTTTTTCAGCTTGAAGCACCTAAGTAGTTCCACTGTCAACAACAGGACTTCTCAAATGCTTAAATTCATGCATGTGTTGAAGTGCCTTGTTAAATCAGGGCTTCAAACCCTAATAGCCTGCTGAACCAGAGTGATCATTCCAGTCTTCACCCCTAGAGCCTTAGAAACACCCCTAGCATGCAATGTACAAAACTAATTTTAGTTAATTGGTTAAAATTTTGTATGCACACTCTGTGACCGCTGAGAGTTTTGAAAACTGACTGTGCTGGTGTCACCCTGCATGCCTGTTTTTGTGATTAGTCACATCCACCCATAGCAGACACGGCCCTGTCATCAGATGGGCTCTGTGATCTGTCCTGGGGCTGGCACATCCCCAGCTGCAGGTGGCTTTCCTCCACAGTTGTCACACAGTGTGGTGTAGCTACCTGTGATAACTCTGGAGCAGACAGGATGTCTTTTGTGCTGCCTTTTCCAACGTGTTCCACTGCATACTCCTTTCAAAGACTAATAATTTCCGTCGGGAAGGAATACTGTCAGCCTGGCATCAGATAAGTTCTCAGGCAGGGAGCTGTGCCCTGCACTGCCTGTTTTATCCAATAAAGATTTTCCCATCTCTTGTGTACTGCTTATAATTTAGCTTTCATAAATTGACTTGCCAACACATTTGGGTGGACAGAGAAAAGTGAGATGCTGATGTGTCTGCAGACTCCTTTCATCTGACATAAACACCCATTGTCAACACAGGGTAAGCAGAGGTGAAAACACTGTGGCAATTACAAACCAAATTTCAGTTTACCATCCTCCTGCCCTTCTGGCACTTGTCACAACAAGAAATAATGCTCTGGTCATTCACATGCTGACACAAGACAGCATTTTGAGGCTGGAGCTGAAATAAAGTTTGAGATTAACCTTCTTTTTATTGGAGGAGTGGAGAAACTGCTCCACCTACCTAACTGAAAACTTTAAATGGAAACAGAGCTGTGAACAGCACAGGTGGCATCATGTATCATCATCTGTTTCCTCACATGTGAGAACAGCTTTACCAAGGTGTTTATTCTCATTTTCCTTTGCTCCTTTCTTTAGATAGTTTTGGTGCCACATGGCTTGGTCCCTAGTCTTGAGGATGCCTCTCTCTGCAGGATGCAGCAGCCTCTGAGGATGCTAAATCCATGGACATGCACAGCTGGCAGGGTAAAACTGTTCCCAGGAACAAAGGTGTTTGTGGACATGTCTTGAAGCTGAGACTCCTTGTAATCCAGCAAAAATAAACATCAGCTTCTACTTGTCCAAGAAAGGTCCATAAACCCTCACCCTCCTATATGTGCTAGCCATGCTTTGATAATTGTCTCTAAAATTGAATTTAATAACAGCTAAAATTATTCAAAAGTTTCCTTGGCTGCAGAGTTTATGGAAAGCACTACCTAAATATGATGGAAAAAAATAATAAAAATTATACCATCTAACCTCTGGGAGAAATAACACTTGGGTTTGTTAATTTTGGATAACATCTAAATTCTTCTGCTGGCATGGTTTTAAACTATATCCCTATAATGCATCTCCTCATACTTTTACAGCAGCAATAAGAAAATTGGCTAAAAAATGGTAATGCCCCTTTTGGCTCACAATGTATCTTTTGAGACTAATTTGTTTAGTTTAATGAAAAAATAAAGTTTGCATGGCTATGATTCAGTCCCAGTACCAATATACTGTGCTGGGATAAGAAACTAATCATGTTAGGAGCAGGCAGAGTGTCCATGGCAGGGCAGCAACTGCAACAGTCCTCACCAGCCCATGACTCTTCCCATTTTCTCCTCATTTAGTTTAAAACAAATGTGCAAACAAGGCAGAGCTCAGTCCTGAGGAGCTCCCCATGTGGCCTGAGGGTGCTGGATCCCCATGGCAGGTGTGCAGGCTGGAACCTGAGAGACCAGCACAGCCACAGGTGGCTGATCACAGAATTATAGAGGCACAGAGTCACAGAATCACAGAACTGTGGAATCACAGAATTACAGAACCACAGAATCACAGAATTGACTGGGTTAGGAGGGACCTTAAAGACCATCCAGTTCTGACCTCCCTGCCATACAGGCAGGGATTCCATTCGGTCTGTCAAGTCCTCAGAGCTCCATCCAACATGACTGATCCCACGTCCTTAATACTTACACCACTGGAAAGCTGAAAGCTAAATAAAGACCATTCAATACAGGTTTGTAGCTACCAGAAAATAGCTGTAAGACTAGAAGATGAGGGGTTAAATTAACAGTTGAGTTGGAATTTCTTCAAAACATGACACAGGCAACAGAGAAAATAGAGGAGTTCAGACAAGTGTAAACAAACAAGTTTTTTTTTTCCTTAATGATTGCATTTACCAGATGTTTAAAAGCTGGATTGACCATTTAAAGTTATCACATTTTGTCTGAAGTTGTGGTTTGATTGCAGCCTATGCATAATAGCATTTCCCAGGGGCCAGTAAGATTCAGTATTTCATGTAGGTGCTTCATGAAGAGCAACATACCAGTGTATATTGTGTATTGATAATTTTGGTTTTCAGGAGGTTTTTCTTAGTCTGATGGTAGCAGCTTTCAGAGGCAAGAATGGTCTCTGCAGAGACTGCCCCTCAACTTGGGGTGCAGCTAAAATCCTGAGTGCTGTACTGATTTAATTACAGCCATTCAAAGAGAGTGAAAGATTTTATTCAGACTTTCCTGAGACAGAAAAGGAGGGTGTAATGGAAATTCTCTTATTATCTCAACTGCAGGAGTTGTGACTGAGAACACACTTTCATTTGCTGTCTATAGATGTAATTAAATAATTTCAGCTTTCAGGCTTTGAGCCTTATCTCAAGTTGGGATAAGAATTTACAGTGAAAGAGAAAAGCAAGAGAGTTTACTTTCTTTCAGAGAATTCCAGGGCAAAGCAGAACACAAGCCACTGCCAGCAATGATCCAGCCACACCTTACACCCACAGCAGCACTCCCTAGAGTGTTGTGGTGTCCCACCAGACACACCTGCTGGTTAATAAAGAAGAAGCACAATCCCATCCATGACCAAAACTTGAGAAGAAGCATGTAAAAGCTCCATTTTCCCACAGAACATTTAAATCTTTCTTGCTCAGTGCCCCAGAGAATATAAGCTCATTTTAATTGGAAAAAGATATCCCAAAATGGTAGAAAATCAGTGAAGTAGTTAGAGAAATTTAAAAAAATAAAAAACACCTCAGAGCAGGGCTTTGCTCTTAGTGGATTCTTTGCTTAAGTCCTGTACATGTTTGGAGACAGACTTGCTGCAGCTGTTACCTGCTGTACTCCTGGCCAAAAATGCAGCCAGGCTGCTGGGCAATGAGGTGAGGTTTTGGGCAGGCCAGCAGGGAGTTTGAGAGGTTTTAGCAGCAGTTTGAGAGGTGGCTGTCTCCTGATTCAGCAGGCTCTGTGCATCCAAAAGAGCAGACACATGCTCAAGGCTGGATGTCAGAACAGACAAGTGCAGGTTCCTGTCCCCACAGCAAAGAACCAGCAGTTCAGCTTCTACTCTACCAGTGGGCTCAGCTTTGGGTGTGAGTACAGCTGCTTTCCCAGCCTGTGATCCTTGGAAATCAGCAGCTTCCCAGTTTCACACACTGGCAGGGTGCTGCAGCTCTGGTCCTTGGTGGATGTTCAAAGCTTGGGGACAGAAAATGCTGTTGTTGCTGCCACCACCCCCATAAAAGCACCAAAGGTGATGCCTGTGATGCAGGTGTTCAGAGCAGGGGAGCATCCTTAGGGATACAGAGTTTGGCTAGCACTGAAACTGGCTCCATGGGCCAAAGACAAGCAAAAGGATGGGAGGAGTCAGCCTGGGAAAAGATCTGACTCAGAACAGACACGTTTTTCTCTGCTTGGAGCTAACCAGTGCTTGGTAAATATGCTGGACCCTGCCCTCTCATCCCATCCAGTGTACCTCTGTGATATCTGGCATCCCACAATCCTGCAAATGTCCTGGTACTGCTTTACAACAAATATATCAATATACTTAGGCAAGGGGAAAAGCACCTAAGCACAATCTGAGGTACTAACAGAGGGTAAATGCTCCCAGTATTATTGCATCCTTCAAGCCCCTCTCAGGGAGTTCCTCCCTGGGCATTTATGTTTACTGTAAATTGCTAGGAGCTGGCTCTTTCCACACGAGGAGAAACACCAAGGACAAACTACTGCATAATGTATAAGATATAGGATACTGCAGGGTTATTAAACATACATGTATGGGAATAAAGAAAATAGGGCCTCCAGAGTAAAGGTAGCCCTACCTGTCTCTCTTTACAGTGCAGCATCTTAGCTGTAATATCTGGCCCCCTTTAGAGCTGGTCATGCCTCTGAATTGTAGGTAGTGTTGGCCTGCAGCATCTCAGATCCTGCTGTTCTTGAGCAAAACTCCCAGACAGCTGCATGGGTTGGACATTTTGGAGGCTGGCTTGAGAAACACTGGGGAAGAATGCAAAAGTAGCACTCAGCACCTACTAAAACACCAAATCCTCTCAGCTCTCCAGCCTGGCAGAGCTTAATATCTCATTTGTCAAAGTGACAGTCAATTCCCCATGATAGATCATATGATTATTAATTCTGTCTTCAGGAGATACACACAATTTGGAAGTTTTCTGAATCAAGGTAGTAAGATAATGCTGAAGGGAAAAAGCCCCAAGGCTTCCCCCCTCCCTCAAATTTCCATTTCATTAAAATTTCAGAGGTAAACAACAAAAGTTGCAGCAAAAAAGGTTCCTGTCACTGCAAAAACCCAAAGACTCCTCACAACAGGTGAGACGATGGTCTGCTGTACAGAGACCAAATACAAACTGACACAGACAGAGACTAATTAAAAAGTGATTCACCTGTATCCTCTGTAACTAGTTTGGCTTGTAAGTGTTGGGATTTTTACTGCAAATAGTTTAATTTTTCTCTTTGCATGAAAAGAACTTAGCTCCTCAGAGGTTCAGCTTTCTGGCTGAGCTTACCCATGCTTAGAAGATAATTGATTTTAGGGAGTTCTCCAGAGAAATGTCACTCAGAAGACTCTTGGTTAACTATTCTCAGCTAAGCCAAAAAGCACGACACTTCTCACTGTTATGAAAGTTGTCTAATGACCTGTTTCCAACCTGATCTCTGAAGGCTGTGTGAACTTTGGTAGAAGCTTGGCATGAAGGAAGAATCATCTGCTGCAGTTTGGGAGGGGGTGGTGAGAATTCAGAGATACGTGATAGGAAGAAATCCCCTGCCGTGCATGTTCTCTGAGGATCAATTTCTACCCTTTCTCTGGCAAAACCAGTAAAAAGAGATTAGGGGACAGGAAAAACCTCCTCTGTGAACTTGCATGCAGAAGCTTTCACATGAACCCTGGCAAGGCTTGTGCTCTCCACCAACGCTCTGGCAGACACAGTGGTATCACTGGTGCAAATGCTGATGGAAAACAACTATAAGCAAATCTTAAGGTGTTCTCTGAATGAGTGTTCACAAACAATGCTTTGGAGAGCTCTTGGTTGGAACAAAATCTACCTAGTCAGAATTTCCAGCACAGCTAAAGACACTAGACTAAAACAGCTGATGGGCTGGAAAAAAACCCACCCTACGTACAGGGACCTTCCATGACCCTCCCAGTGGTAACACCACAGAAATAACCAAACACACAAACCTGGAAACTTCCACACTGGGAATTGTCTCTCCTTGAGCTCTTCCTCAAAAGCCTGAGCACAGGATGTTGCTCATCCTGTGATGTGAGCTGGGCTGCACTAATGCATTCATTGATCAGACAGGACCTATCCACTCAACACTGCACTTTCTGTTTGTGCACCCTTTCCTGGATTTCAGCAGCATCTTCATTTCAAGCAAATTTCAGCATAATTGCTGTATTTGCTTAAACCTATGCAACAAAAGCTGTTTCTAGCCCATCTGCTCTGCTCTGGCAGCCTCTGCCATGTAAAATGGACACTCATCCAAGGTGTTGGAAGAAGAAGGAGGCATCCACTGGTCACACCCTGCAGCCGAGGACAGAGAGGCAGAGACACAGTAGAATTGGTATCACCAGACTCTGAGAGGCACATGATTCAGAGCCAAGGTTTCACACTCCTCACACATGCATATGTATTTTACCTCATTATTGGCTTCAGCTGCGTTTATTGTTACCAATTTGTGTCCCGATGCAACTTTTCTAGGCAGCCTCGGTGGGAGACACTTGCAGAGCAACGTTTGCATTTCTGCAGGTCTTTGTGGACATGCATATTGCTAATACACACATAAACAGGATGCCATTTATATTTAAACAGTGCTTTTGGAGTCGAATGGCATCACAGCTGAGGGAATGGAAACGTTCTGATTTGTATCACTTATCTCAGTGGAGGCTGCTTCCTTCACACATTGACTTCTGCAGAGTCTCTGCAATAAGGCAGCTACATTCACATAGGATGAGACATGAGGTATTTAATAAACCCCCTTCCTTCACCAAAAGCCTATAAGCTTGCTCTGCCCATTGATCTTTACAGTTTCTCGCCCCTCCATTTTTTTCCAGACTACTGTGCTTTCTTTCTACTTCAGCTCTTTTCTTCCTTTCCATTTGCATATATTCAAGGCCTTAAAGAAAAACAGCTCTGCATTAAAAGGCTATTACAGAAATATATGCTATTTAGGTAACAATAGACCATGTTTTCTGTTGGGAGGGGAAAAAAAACCCGAACAGAATATTTTAGCTCCAAACAAGATTTAAAAGGATACCACATGATGTTCAGCATCCTTTGGCTCACAGAATTTGTCCTGCAGTTTATTGAAGCTTCTGGTTTAGTCTGCTCTTCATTTTTGCAGAAACAGGACTATGACAAGAGTGTGTGTGCGTGTTTTCAGACATGCCACCCCCCTCTTCACCTGAGGCTTTCCCAGGCACAGAACACCTGATGCTTCACAGCACTGAACCTTCCACTGCAGTTTGCTGAGGGCTGTAAAGCAGTGTCCCTTGCACTGGCAGTGTTTTACACTGCCTTCAGCCTGCTACAGGGATCCCAGCTCAGCAGGACTCAGCCAGGTATGGTTCCAAAAGCTTTTCACCCCTAGAAGTCACGACCATGTCAGGTGGGATGTTTCTCCACTGTCTTTACAAGATAAAATCCCCAAAGTGTATGCATTTGCAAAAACACACAGTAAAAAAAAAAAAATCAGTGACACAAGCAACCCCTCCAACCTTGTGGGTGCTTATGTGTGTTCCTGGGGAGCTGTCTTGTCCCCCATGATGGGTTTAATGGTCAGGACTGAGGCAGTCCTTGTCCCACCTGTCTGCAATGGCCTTTGGCTGGCAGTCACCACCACTCAGAATTCGATTTGAGGGGTCTGGGTGTCCTCTCCAAAGCTTTCTCAAGACACAGCCCTGCCAGCTTGATTAAACCAACCTAAACCCACATTCCTTCCCTAAGGGATGGCCCTGTCTTCTTCTAGCCCAGCTGGGATTTCCCAGTGCCTCCCCACCTCTGCTGCAGTCCCTGCAACCCACAGGGAATGGGAGCTACATTTAATAGCTACAGCTATTAAATGCTGATGGAGCTGAAAGCAAAAGGAGAAAAAAATCTTCTTTCACCAGGTCAGCAAGGCACTCTGTCCCACCCTGTGGGTGGCAGGAGCTCATGGCTGGGAGAAAAGAGCACTCTCATTAGTCCATCAGTCATTGGTACAGCTGAACTGGCAGCAAAGTCGTGTTTGAGTTTACAGCTTGAGCACTAATTTAAATTGCTGTTGATTTTGGGGTTGCCTCAGCACCCTGGGGCTGGCAGTGCCATAGCAAGTTGCCAGTGCCTGTGCTAAGGGAACAAGATTCTCCACCAGAGAGAGAGAAGGGCTCAGGATGGCAGCAGTATCTGCACCTGCTGCAAATCCCTCTTCTTGCTTCATTCTTAGGTGGAGGGCTATTTTTAATGGGATCAACTCAGTGACACAAGATGTCAAAATGCAGCTTCACAAAGCAGTTGCATCAGTGCAAACAGTGTGGAAGCAAACTGTGAGGATCTGGGGAGAGAGGAGTCCCTTGGGGCAGCCTCACAGAGGAGCCAGAGCACCACGAGGGCCACCAGCAACAGCACAGGAGCTCTGAAGTGGCTCAGGAGGGCAGAAGATTCCCTCTCTCATCTGGGTGTGCAAAAGTGATGTTACCCATTCCCTTCAGGATTCAATCTGGCTTTCAGGCAGGAGCCTTTCCTTTGCTTAGCCTCTGTGAAGGACTGAGCAGGGTACATGAAAAATCCTCAGCTTTCCCCAGCATACATTTTTTTGACAGTGAGTTAAGAGGTGTCTGTTTTATAGGTGTAAAAATGAGAGGCAAAGGACAATGAACTATTGTTTCCATCCCTGTGTTTCAGAAGGCAGTAGACAAATCAAACAGTTTCGAATGCAGGACAAAAGCTCCTCCTGAAAGAAGTGTACAAGGTTGTGACTATTTGGTGTTATTCTCATGAGGGAACAGAGAGGATCAAAAGAATAAACTCTAAAACTCCAGTAACATATTTACTAGTTTTGTGTATGAAATAGTAGAAACACCTGATTTCTTCACCTTTATCCAAGGGTTTCCACAGCCTATTTTTACTGGGTATGCAGGGCAGACTCATGGATAACCACCCTTGCTCATTCCACCAGGAAGCTCATTCAGACTGAAACTCGGACTATTGGTTTTTAATTTTAACGCAGTTTTTCATTTTGATAGCTCTTCCACCTGACATGGAATTGCCACGCCGCAAATTGAATACAATAAAATTGCTAATCAGCCCATTAGAATATGGTGACGGTATAATATCTATTAGTTGTTGAATAATGTCTTCCTCTAATGTATTTTGAATTAAGTCTGCATAATAACAAAATTAATTTAGATAAGTGTGCCTACCCATAAACACAGCGTGCACATGCACTCACAGCCTTCTTCTGGAAATCTGTACTTTTTAACACAGTGACAATCCCATACAAATATCAGGGAAGGAAAGTGTCTTCAAGGAGTGAAACAAGCAATTAAATACAAAGAAATTATCCATGGAGTAAGACAGGCTACAGCAGTTTGCTCTGATCAGGTGTCTTTCATTAGAACACAAAAACTATTACAGGCTCCAAACTCACATCATAGTGTATTTCTCTGACTTCAATTGCTTCTTATCCCAGAAATACCTCCCACATTCTACTTCCTCAACAGTTAAAGCAAACTATTCTTTTGCATTTTCTTATCCTATTTTCTCCTTCTTTTTCCAAGCTCTTGCCTGACAGTTTCTTAAGTTCTTAATTCTGATGTGCACAGGCTATAAATTTTTTCAGCACCCTAAGAAGACCCTTAGTCAGTTTCTTTTAAGGACTTTTTAATTATTTTACCCTAGTGCAAGCCTTTCCTTGCTCTACTTGCAAAGACACAAAATGTAAACTTTTTCCCCTTGGCTTCCCCTCCCTGGGGACAGATAATTTCCTACACTGGCAATTTCCCTTGTCAGCATCCTCTAGTGCTACATCCTGAGTGGTTGAAAGCTGCCAAGCCTTTGTCTGAAGCTTAGAATAGAAAGTTAGCAGTGATTCCAAAATGTCTCTTATTTGTCTAATAAAAGCTCCTAGTCATTATAAAATAAGAGTTGTTGAAGTTGTTATGGGGCTATTTCTCCCTACCCATAAACACATGTTTTTATATTCAGCAGAATCAATCTTTATGGTACTCTAAAAAAAATATAGTGGTCATATTGTAAAGTCCTGAAATTTGGATGAGTTTGTTGTCTTACAGGAATCTTAGGATTTTAAATAGGTCAAAGTCCAGACTTATCCAATAATTTGCAATGAGAATATAATAATGTAGAACTTCCTTATAAAAGGGTACAGCCTGCTATGGGCAGAACTGTGGTCAGAATCTTACTGGCAGCTTGATATTCTTATATGGGAAAGGAGGATTTGTAACCTTAAGCATTTGAGAAAACTGTCTCTGGGCATCTCTACATCCTTCTGCATCTAAATATTTCCAGGGACCAGGTTCTCAGTGCACCTACATCTGCAAACCTGCATCTGTGTCACTCAGGGGATGGATTTCAGAGTAAGCTACTTGCAAGAAACATTCGGACTCCACAATACACAGATAAGAAAAGGAACAATACAGTTGAAATGGGCAAAGATGATTCAGTTCAATCTGAGGAGAGCTGCTTTGTATTCCCAGTCAGTTTAACAATCCTTTCATCTTTCAAGGAAATTATAACTATGATGCATTGGGACAAAGTTAGCAACTTCTCTTTTTATCTAAGTCCTATTATTGGTGCTTGTCACAGCCGTTCAAGGACCTCCTGGGAACCAAAATGGACAATTGCATCCTCCTCTCTCTGCCAGTGAGAGGCTGGGTATCATTAACAATGCTTAAATTAATAGCGAATTTTGGAGGGAGTAAATGTTCCCCTGCAGGAAACCACGGATGAAGAGACAGGATGTACATTTCAGTTCAAAGCCCTGCCTATGAGTGCAGGTCTGTGACATTTTCCTGTTCAAAATTAGACATTCATAAGTTCACTGCAGCAAGGTGCACATTATTGTTTTGGTCTATGGAATCAATAGCTACGAGGGAGGGGGTGGAAGGTGGCTTTTTGAAAAAGTGAGTGGTTTTCACAATGGAAAGAAATCGATAACGTGTAATAAGTGGCTGTAGGTGGTTCCCTGCCCTTGCTCCTTTTTGTGCAATATAGGTCTCAGGGCTCTGAAAGGAACTGGAACACAGGGTGAGGTCTTTATCAAACTTTGTGTTACTGTGGATAACAGCGTCCAAATTTTGCCATAATATGTGAGCAGAGGAGATGTAGAAGCAAAATAGCTCGAGCTTAGTCTAGGTGAGGTCAAAGTGGGGCTGGTAAGCAGAGGGGAAGCCTGGCTTGTGGCCAGATGCAGCCCACCAAACCTTTGTGTGCAGGCAGACAGAGGGATTTCGTGTCTGTGGCTGAGAGCCAGCAGATCTTGGAGGCTGCAGGGATTCTGCTGGCAGCAGCAGACAAGGAGCTACCCTGAGTGTCCTGGCACTCCAGGTATGGAGCTCTGATTGAAGCTGAATGCAGCCTGG